TGTAATTCCGGCTACCTGGAAGGCTGAGGCGGAAGGATCGCCGGAGCCCAGCAGGTCGAGGCTGCGGTGGCCAAGAGCGGCCACTGCATTCCAGTCTGGGTGACAGAGTGAGACTCCAACTCAAAAAAAAAAAAAAAAAAAGAATCACTAGATACCCAGGAATGACTTAAGAGAAGGAATAGCTTCTGACAAGGGCTGGGACCCAATCTCTTAGTAGTCACTCTCGCTTCAATGCTAACCAGAAAGGAGTCACGTGTCCTTGAGTGCAGAACCTTCTAGAGGGAAAACAGAACTAGGAGTCAATGACAAGCTGAAAACACCTATTTTGAATACTCTAGAACATGCCTATAATCCCAACTACTTGGGAGGCTGAGGCAGGATTCCTTGAGGTTCTAGATCAACCTGGGCAATATAGTGAGACCCCTGCCTCAACAGCAACAGCAACAAGAATAATGACAATGTAAACTAGTTAAATTGGAAAATGTTGGCAAGGTGCAGTGGCTCATACTTGTAATCCCAGCACTTTGGGAGGAGGAGGCGAGAGGACTGCCACCTCAAGACCAGCCTGGGCAACATGGTGAGACCTCGTCTCTACAATAAATCAAAAAAATTGGCCAGGCATGGCAGTGTACACCTGTGGCTCCAGCTATTTGGAAGGCTGAGGCGGAAGGATCACCTGAGCCCAGCAGGTTGAGGCTGTGGTGGCCGTGAGTGTGCCACTGCACTCCAGCAGAGGTGACAGAGTAAGACTCCGACTCAAAAAAAAAAAATTGGAAAATGTTCCTTAGTCACTAATTTTTTTTTGTTGTTGTTGAGTTGGAGTCTCACTCTGTCACCCAGACTGGAGTGCAGTGGCCGCTCCCAGCCACTGCAGGCTCGACCTGCTGGGCTCTGGCGATCCTTCCACCTCAGCCTTCCAAGTAGCTGGAATTACAGGTGCCGTGCTACCATGCCAGGCTAATGCTTAGCCACTAATATTAAAGCCTCCATCTGGTTTGATTAGCATGGAGATACTTAACAAAGTTATAAAGATCTTGTCAACATTTTGGAAAATCAAGGGAAAATGGCAGCACTCCAGAGTATAGGATAATCAAAAAAGTATGTCAGAAGAACTTTCTATCCATTTGAAAATAATACATTTGCATATCTATCCTGTATCATGTGTAAACCACAACTGCAAGAGAAAATATTCAAATACTTATAAATCATAAAAAAACTAGAAGAAAACAAGCAAGTTTCTATAACTTAGGGTATGAAAACCTTTCTAAGCTCCTTACCAGGACAAAATCCAAAAAGAAGACTAATATATTTAGCAACAAACAGAAAAGTTCAAGGTGCTAAAACACCATAAACCATAAAACAAGAAAACATATTTGCAACTAATTTTCTGTTTAATATGAAGGACTAATTTTCTCAACATAAAAGATTTTTTTCAAATTAATAAGAAATGCCAACATCCAACAGAAATAGAGATTAAGGAAAAATATAATTTTTAAAAGAAATATATTATTAAATATATGAAAAGATGTTCAGCAGTAATGATACAAATGAGATACTGATTTTTTTATTACCTATCACTGGCTGTTATTAAAAATACTAATATTCCTTGTACCTGTGCATGCAAGGTTCAGTGAGAGTGTAAACTGGTTCAACCTTTGTGGACAGAAATTTTAAAAATAGGTATTAAAATTATGAGTGTATGCTTTTTGAATGAAGAACCCTTTCTGACTGATCTTTGAGGCTGTTGTTACCATGAGATTTCTGCATCCCTCTTTATTTTAAAAGCTCTCAAATGTAGCCAAACTTGGAAAAGAACCAATCTGCCAATGGTGAGAAAGATGTGCAGAATGAAAGGTTCAGAGCCCACAGACTCTGTTATTGATATCTGGTGGTCATATTTCTGGGAGCCTACTAAACCTATAGGAATTCACATTAAAAGTATAGGTTGTTGCAGAAGACATGCCTTTTTATGTATGAAATCCTACGAAACCCACTTAAATCAACTGTATTTCTATACATTTGCAATGAGCAATCTGAAAATGAAATTAGGAAAATTCCATTCATGATAGCAACAGGAAGTGTCAAATACTCAGGAAAAATTTAACAGAAGTACAGAATTTATTTATTTATTTATATTTTAATCAATTTTTAAAAAATGATACTGTGGGATATAGTTAAGCGTTAGGTATACAAATATGTTCCGTTCAGGCACCCTTGTTGATAAGAGGTGTCTCCCTGTCCTCAGAAAAAGTACAGAATTTATACTCTGAAAACTACAAATGTTTAAAGAAATTAAGGAAAATTTAAATAAATGGAGAAAATCCCATATTCATAGGTTGGTTGAATTTGACTTCCAATACTGTGCAACACTGTCAACACTCCTCAAACTGTTCTACACATGTGACTCAATTCCTATCAGAATCCCAGATGCCTTCTTGGTAGAAATTCACAGCCTATTCTAAAATTTATATGGAATTGCAATAGATACAGCATAGCCAAATCAATCTTAATTTTTTTTTTTTTTTTTTGAGTTGGAGTCTCACTCTGTCGCCCAGACTGGAATGCAGTGGCCGCTCCCGACCACCGCAGCCTCAACTTGCTGGGCTCTGGCGATCCTTCCGCCTCAGCCTTCCA